AGTGACTGGCACACAGTGAATGCTTAATAAATGCTAGCTGGTGGACTCTTCTCCTGGTATATTAATTTGATGACTGTTGAGTGGGAAGAGATGCAGCAGAGAGCCACCAGCAGGAAATAATCTGTGGTAGTCTGGTCATGAAGTAAGAAGGGCCTTTGCCAGGACCTGCAGTGAGAGGAGGGGAGAGAGCCTATAGCAGAGACATCATGAAGGTAGAAAGGTCAGAACTCAGCAACTGACTGGATGTGAAGGGTGAGAGGGAGCCGGGAGGGAGCTGGGTCCCTGGGGGGCATCCTGGGAGGATGGTGATGCCCTCCCCAGGAATAGGAAAGGGAGGAAGAGGGCAGGGTTTGGAAGAAAGAGTAAGGAGCTGGTTTGGACTACAGGACTACAGGGCATCTGCTTTGACAAGTGGAGGTCAGCAGGGAGATCAGGGTGGCATGGATAGCTTTGAGACTCATCAGTGCAGGCTTAATATTGAGTCCCATTGGAGCCGATAAGATGACCAAATGAAGTAGCACAGAGGGAGGAGAGAAGAGGGCCAGGAGAGTCCTCCCAGACACCCACAGTTAGAAGGCATGGTCTGGATGACAATCCAGTAAGGGAGACAGAGGAGGAGTGGTCAGGTACGGAGGAGGAGAACGAGGAGGGAGCAATGCCAGGAAAATGTGGGGGGCAGAGGCTGATCCAGAGTCCGAGGCTGCAGAGAAGTCAAGAAGAATGAAGCTGGAGAAAAAGCCATTGGATTGGGCAAGTAGGAGGCTCAGTCCAGCCAGCCCCTTCATTTTACAGATGAAGAAACTGAGGCCCAGAGAGGTCACTACAAACACCAGAGGAGGCGATGGAGGCCCATACAGGAAGATCATTCCCCAAGTGAGAAGCCAGGACAGAACTAACCCCGCACATCCGAGTTGGAAGGACCCTTGGGGCCGCCAAATCCAACCACCTCACTGAGAGTGGATAAATGGCTGCCCGGAGCCCCAGAGGGGGTGCGCACAGAAGATGAGACCACCCAGCTTCCTCTTATTATGGAGCCACAAACTGGGAGCCAGGGACACTACGGGAATCCAGGCTTCCCTCCCTGGCCAGGCTCCTTCCAACATGCGGGGCCTAGGAACCCTAGGACCAGCAGAATGCATCTACCCCAGGGCGGCTAACTGCTCAAGAAACCAGGATCATTTCAGAGCAACAGGACACGAAAGCACGGAAATGGGCTGATGATGGCCGGCTAGTCTGCTGCCCAGCTCTGCTAGAGGCCAGAGACCAGACAACGTCCAACGGGCCTAGCGGGCCGGGTCCCCAAGCTGCCCACCGGATCCCGGAGCTGCTCAGAATGTCCCACGCTCTAAGCTAACAGGAGCCAGGCCTTCGGGCAGGAGAGTCACCAGGTGAACAGGAGAGGTGACAGGCCAGACTTAGGAGAGAGGGCAGGGAATGCCCAGTGTCCCAGGCCTCTGGCATGCCCTTGTCCAATCCCCTCATTTTACAGTGGAAGAAAGTGAGAGGGGAAGGGACCTCCCCAAGGTCACACAACCAGTGTGGGGCAGAGCTGGGAAATGGGTCCAACCTCTTCCTAGGGATGGGATGGGGAGGGAGATGAGAGTTGAAATGGGAATGCCTGGAAGACTTGGTTAGTTCCATAGAGAGAGGTCAGAGAGCAAGCCCAGGATGGCAGGGAAGCCGGGGGGGAGAAGCACTGACCTGGACCCAGGCTGCCCTGCAGGATCCAGCCACCAGGAAAGAAAAGGCACAAACACACAGCACGGTTTGATTGGAGAATAGCTGCTGAAAGGGCCAGACCCTTGAACTACTTGTGGACAGCAGCCAGGATGCTGGGCCTGCAGTCAGGAAAGACGCGAGTTCAAGTCCTGCCTCAGACACTTCCTAGCTGTGTGACCCTGGGCAAGTCACTTCACTTCTGTCTGCCTCAACTTCCTCACCTGAATAATGGGGGTGATAATAACAGCATTGACTTCACAGGGCCAAATGAGATAAAGAGCTCTGCTGCCAACCTTAAAGCACATCAGCATTTGCTCTTTGTCTTGCACTGCCTGAGGCCACCCAGGTGGTGAATAGTAGACCCTGGATCTGCCCCCAGGTGCTCTGACTCCAAGCCTAGCGCCTTCCCACTGTGCTAAACTGCCTGTAGGGGAGGGGTCCCTTCCAGGACCGAGTCTATGACCCTGCGAGTCACACTGAATCACAGAACCTGCAGAGAGTTCACAGAAGGCGCCTGTGCCCGAAAGCTGCCCTCCAGCAGGGTTGCCCTGTGCTCAGCTTGGCCTCAGAGGGCGGAGCTGGTAACAACTGAGGGAAGTCACTGGCAGATTTCGAATGGATGTAGGAAGTCCCTCTGCTAGTCAGAGCTAGCCCTGAAGGGAGGGAGGGGGCTGTCTCCTGAGGAAACAGAGCCTCCCTGAAGGTAAGCCTGAGGTCCCACAGCTGGCTTTCAGCGGCTTCAGGCTCAGAACCCACACCTCCAGGCAGGGTCTGATGCTCCCCTTCCCGTTCCTTGGAGGGACCTTATACCAGACCTCCAAAGGTCCCTGCCAGCCCTTCTCCAGGAGAGAACGTGGCAGCCTTTCAGCTCTGGGCTGAGTGGGTGCTGCACCAGGCTGATGCGGGCACATAGACCACAAAGCACCAAGGCTCAGGGAAGCCCCAGAGCTCACCTCAGCTGCTGCTGCTCCTGGGATCCAGCAGGTCCCAGGACAGGGGCCTGCCAGGCATCCCAGTTGCCCCAGATCCTGCGATGGTGCTGCGTGGGCACCAGCCTCTCCTTTCTGAGGCTCCCTGGAGGCCCCAAGTAAAGGCTGGGGGAGCCCAGGCTGCACCTGAGTTGTAAATCAGCATCATAGACTTAGAACCAACAAGAACCCTAAACAGAGGTCAACCAATTACTTCCTTTCATTTTATCTAACATCAATCTCATTGATGCTGCTCAACACCAGTTATTTCAAGACGCACCCTTCTTTTCCTGCCTTCAAAACTGGACCCTCCCCATGTTAAAGCAAGGGGCAGCTAGGTGGCCCAGGGGCTAGGGTGCCAGGCCTGGAGCCGGGAAGACCAGAGTTCAAATCTAGCCTGATATCCTTCCTAGGTAAGTCATTTAACCTGTCTGCCTCACTGAGGATAATCACAGCACTTACTTCCCAGGGTTGTGAGGATCAAATGAGAAATTGTCAAGAGCTTAACACAGTGCCTGGCACTTAGTAGGTGCCACCTACATGTTAGCTGCTGCTTCATTGATTATTATCTCTTAGGGCCTGGGGAGAGGCTTGGTTCTTCCTCACTGGAGGACTTCCCTCACAGGGTGAAGGGATGTCTGATCAGTGAGGGGATGGACAGAATGATGCCTGATGTCTCTTTCAGCTCTGTGGGTCTGAGCTTTTAGGAACAGAAGTAGAATCAGGCAGTGTCAAGGATGCAGACCTTGGCAATAAGTCAGAGTTGGCCAGACCCTTAGGGCGTGTTTGTGCCTTGTATCTCAGGTGGCTTCCCAGTGAAGGGGGGGGGAGGTTTGGAGTGCTCTTAGATGCACAGAGGCACCCCAAGATCTTGGGGAAAAGCCCAAATCATGGCACGGATCTGTCTGAATGAATTCAACTCAGATCTTCTTCCAGCCAGAGAAAAAGTTTATTAAAGATAAGCATATAGGCCAGACTCCAAAAGAACCCAAACATCAGTGATCTAAATAGGGTTCAAGGTGGTCAGGTGACGCTCACAAGAAAGAGCAGCGTGAGGCAGTCTAGAAAGCTCAGCGTCTGAGTGGGAGCTGGGGCTAAGGTGGTCAGGCCAGGTGACGCCCGTTAACGGGCGGGCATGAGGTCTCATCCTCTAGGGGCATGAGAAATTCCCAGCTTCTGAGTGGGGGCTTGGGTGGATAGGCCATGTGATGCCCTTAGGATGGGCAGGCTTGAGGGGTCTCAGCTTCTAAGCTCGAGAACAGCTCAGCATCAGAATGGGGGAAAGGTGAGCCTTTAGTACAGACTGATTGGGGAGGGGCCAAGCAGCTTGGAGTGATGGGAGGAGGGGTCCAAGGAGTGGCCAAGCAGTTTGGGGTGAGGGGAGGAGGGGTCTAGGGAGATCTGGATGGGGGTGGCCAGCAAGCTGGGGTGAAAGGCGCCTAGCTAGGATTAAGGGTGGGAATGGCCAGGAAGGCAAAACAATGGGAAAGCCAGTTGATGGGGGAGGTGGACCATTTGGAAAAGGGTCCAGGTCAGAATTCCCCTTTGGAATGTCTGAGTGATTTGAACAGACAATGAGAATAGATTATGAAGGGAGCTGGAAGGGGAAGTTTGCTTTCAAAGGGAAATAAGGCAGTTTCTAAAACCTGAAGGGTTTCCTGGGACCAGTAAACAAAACTGAAGCCAGGTTCTTTTTGTCACAGAGAGATAAGTGAGTCCACGAGGAATCTAAAAGTTTTAAGGTTTTTCTGGGAATTGCAGGTAAACCTCATCACCAGCACAATCTGGCACCCAAGACTCACAGGGGCACCCAGGGGAAGCCTCCCAGGATCCTCAGAGCTCTGCCATCAAGAGAGCTCAGCTGGCTTTCTTGTGCCCCATGCATCTGTCTCGTGAATAGAGCTGACCATGGCTGCTTGGGAGCCAGGCTCTCCCTGCTTTTAGCTCGTGCCTCAGACAGCTTCATAGGAAGCAAAGTGCAAGCCTTTCTTGAGGCTGCTGGGTGCACCTGCTACCTTCCTGTGCCTCCACTCAGTTGTCCTGTCTCCCAAGAGTATCGACAGCAAGAAAGACGGACCCATGATCCTATTTCAGCTCTCCCTCTCGTTCCCGCTTCTTCTTTCCTTCTTCCCTGGGGCTGGCTCGGCCATGCCCTGCTCCACAACACCATGGCTGGGAGAGCCAGAAACCACCAGGAGCCTCTGAAATTGTCAATCGAGTTTAATGCATCATAAAGAATTAAAACTACAGAAGCATATTTAAGACAAACACTTTTTTTCCTCTATGTGTACTATCCACAGGACAGTCCCCTTTTGCAAAACCAAACCAAAGCGGAAAAATGAAAATGAAAACCAAAGCCTACATATGACCAGTCCCAGGACGCAGCACCAGTGGCACCAGTCGCCACCTGTGGCCCGCCTTCTAATGTTCCCATCAGATCCACCCCAAGAAGAAAGAAAATACCGTGAAACTGGAACCAAAGTTCCCACTGCAAGCCCCCTTGTGATGCATATAAATATTGGCATACGATCACCAACAATAATGATGGCATTTCTTTAATCCACTTTGTTCGTCAATAAAAGAATATAAAAATCTTGTTCAATCCAGTGTTGTGTATTAAAATAGATCTGTATCATACGTTCTGCACAGTTTCTCCCGGAATGGTGAAAATGGCTGCAGGGCCCATGGGCTGTCTTCAGCTGGCGGGTTAATGAAGACCAAGCCCCTGGCTGGTGGCGCCTGGGAGCGGCTCATGGGATATGGCACCATGGGATCTTCGGATGTGGCAGACCCTTGTCCCACAACCCGTCCAGAGGCCATGTGGAACATCTGAGTGGGTGGACATGACAAGGATTGGCAACAGCCAGGCAGACGCTGGTGAGTCCCAGGTTCATCTCAACGTTGGCCTCAGGAGGTCCCAGGGCTGATCCGTGGACTCTCAGCAGTACTTGCTTGTGAAACACTCGGAGGCTGGAGGGTTTTCTCATGAATGTTCTTGCCACTATGACGTTTAATGGCCAAAGGACTCAGGGCTTGCAGACCCTTGAAATGTCCCAACCCAGTCCTCCTCCTCTTCCTCCTCCCTGATCCGCCCCACCCCCCCAACCTTAGAAAGAGTCTCTGGATCCCTCCAATGGGATCGCCTCTCTCCCCCAGAGGCAGGCCAACCTTTATCCTGGGCCAGAGCAGCCTTGGCCCTGCAGGGAAAGAGCAGCGATTTTTTTTTCCTTCACATTAAATATCTTTGCAATAAAAACACAGTACAAAAATGTAAAAGTATTTTTTGGCATAGTGTCCATACTGGCAAGAAACGGAAAAAATGGAATATTTATTGGCTCTTTCAAAGGAAAAACAACAACCCCCCCCCCAAGGCTCCAACCCCAAAGTCAAATGATTGAAAGCCTCAAATCCTGCCGAAAAGCTCCAATGTCTGGTCTATGCTCCATCACGCCCCCAAACGCCAGGAGAAAAATACATCAGTAGCAAAAGAAGTCAAAGGGACCTGCAAAAGTGAAGGGTCGACTGTCAAAGCTGGCTCAGCGCTCCGGAAGGTTCTCCCAGAGAGCTCTCAGTATTCCACCAGAAAGGCTGTGTGTGTGGGCGGGGGGGCTAGCTTCGACTTCCCTTTGGAATACAGACCTGTTCTCTCCAGCAGAATCCTGATGGAAGGCTGACCGTGCATGTGGAGGGGGGAGCTGATGTCCAAACTAGAATCCCTACCAGCCTCAACACCCTCTCATGACCACCCTGAGTCAAGGGGCACGACTCCCTGGCAATGGGCCCCGGCTTCCCAACTTCCCTTCCCCCAGATGGCTCTAAAACCTACCCCTAACTTTGCTAATTATCATCACCTAAGTCTTGTACTTTAGATTCTCCCTTCCCAAAGGCGTCAAGATGTCTGCTCACCCCAGCAGAGGATCATCCCTTCTTCTCTCCCATGCTCTCTACTTTCTTTGTGTCTACTCCTTCCTTCCCTTCATCCCTCTTGCTTTCACTCCTTTTCTTCTCCTTTCTCTCTTGCCCCTCATCCACCTTCCCTCCTTTCTTTCCTTCTCTTTCTTCATTTGAAATTCATCAGGACATCTTGACCAGTGGGCAGTGTGACCTGAGTGACCAGAGGCCCACCCAGAAGCTGGCCTCTTAGAAGGGGGACACAGGCAGGGGGGTCTGTGAAGGCTTCCCGATGCCCACTTCCCAGTGCTCCTCACCCCATGGGGTCCACTCCTTGCTGGGCCTCAGTTGTTCCCCTGGGCCTGCTGGAGGGCTGTGTGCATGGCCATGGTGGCAGAGGTGGCAGCTGGCTTGATCCAAGGCACAGCCAGCAGCGAGGAGGCAGAGGCGGTGGCGGTGGTCATGGTGACCTGAAGCATCTGCTCGTTCTGTATCAGCCGGAGGAGAACCCGGAGCCGCTCCAGGGATGACTGGGCTCCCTTCCGCTGGGTGAGCAGGCTGGTCTTGAGCTCCAGGCATTTCTGGAAGGGAGCAGAGAGAGGTTGAAGATGTCACCCTTCTGCCCCCAAGTCTAGCCCCTGTAGGATGGAGCTTGGAGATCTTCCCTCGTCTGAAGGCAAGGAGACACTGGCAGGAATTATGGTCTGGACACTGGCAGAGGCAGCACCCCCTACCCTACCTGGAAAGGACTGCAGGAGGGGAGGGAGATTAAAGTTTGGGGTCCCGCTTCGTTGCTTACTTGTGCCGTCTCTGTGTCTACCTGGGCAAGTCAGTTAACCAACCTGTGCTTCTATTTCCTCATCAGTGGAATAGAGACTAATTTGCATATGATGCCCCTCCCCCATTACTGTAGGGAAAGCCTTTTGTAAACCTGAAGGAGCGCTAGCAACAGGACCATTAAACCATTTGCAGGGTTCAGAAGCAGGGTGGGTGCCCGGACATACCGAGGTCAGCAGAAGGCTAGAAATGACCTCGACAGACTGCCAGGGTGGGGAGACTCATTCAGATAGATTCAACTTAGATACAGATCAGCCCACGGAGCAGGCTTTCACTGTGCCAGACGGAAAGTCCAGCACTTGCCCAGATAAGGGACGGGATTGGGCTCGATGGCATTTCTTGGGAAGATCTCGGGTTTATTAGTGGACTGGGGGCTTAACAGAAAAGTAAAAAAAAACCTCCTGCCATCAGCAGCAATGTTCCAGGCACCTCAGTGTTTATAGCCAACCCTCTGCCTCCATCTTTGGAAACGTTTACTGAATCATGAACCTGTCTTGGATAAACTTTGGGTCTGCCCCAAGCGGGGCTCTGTATACAGTGGATGCTCAATCAATATCAGGTGAATGACTCCTTTCTTGTATCTGTAATAAATCCCCTAATTAGGCAGAAAAGTCCCCGAGGGCAGGAAGCATGTGCTACCTAAACCTTCTGCATCCCCTAGCACTATACATAGGGATGTCACATGTGCTTGCTGAATGGATGAGTGTTGAAGAGAGAGCCCAAGTTTTCCAAATGGGATCCCTCTGGCTAGTGTCCACCAGTAAGAGTAAGAGCCTGGCCTTGGCTGGGCTTGTGAGGCAGAGCTGGGCTGGCCTAGGCTGAGTGGGCCGTGCTGGGCTGAGCCACTCTGGGCCAGGCTGAGCTGGGCTGGGCAGGACTGAGCTCAGCTGGTCTGAGCCAGGCTATGCTGGGCTGTTGCTGGGCTGAGCCACTCTGGGCCAGGCTGAGCTGGGCTGGGCAGGTCTGGGCTGAGCTGGTC